TCAGCTTGAATGCTAGGTGGGAACTAAGCGGCAGCCAACGTGGCTGGCGGAGCACAGGTCTGACGTGCTGAGGGCAAGAAGCACCACCTCACAAGTGGGCTGCCACATTCAGTACTAGCCTTCGTTTCCCTTCCTGTTTCTGCAATCACTGATAGGCTCGGGGGGAGTGTGCCTTGTGGTGGCCTAGTTTCAGGGTGACACAGATGTGATAAGAATAACAAGACTGGCATTCAGAAAATCAGTTTGTGGTCTGATGATAGGCTCAAGATGAAAAAGTACTCTTGGCTACAGCTGTTATCTGGGCATCTAGAACCAGCCTGTGATATAATAAACTCCCAGATTGAGGACCTGTGTTACAAAAGACAACTGCACTCAGTCATCAATGGTGCCAGTGTAATGTTCACATGCTTTCATCCAGACTGCGTAGATACTACAGTGTTATGGGCCATATAAGTACTTATGGTCTGTGTTAGGCAGGATATCAGATTAGATTACTATAATGGTCCCTGCCAGCTTTAAAATCTATGAACCTAGCTATAGATACCACTGTTTCTGTCATTGAGTTTTAGTGAAGTTAGCCCCTCTTCCAAACCATAGTGTCATGGATGTGAGCGGCTGCTGTAGAAATGGGTATTGTCATCATAACAAAGACACTACGCCCATGTCCCCTCTTACTAACATAATAGGCGGGATGATGATGTAGAACCCCATGTAAGGGCACCTTTGGGGTTGAAAGATAAAGGTGAGCCATTCTAAAAGCTACAAGTTTGTCAACAGTTGCACATGATAAAGAATTACAAAGGCAGACTATGTAAAATTAGAATGGATGTTTAACCCTCATCTATCGGCAGGGGGAGATGATTGACCAATGCAGCCAGTGCAGTTTCTGTCCAAAACTCAGACACGAAACTTAATTGCCAAGGGAAAAGAAAATCACAGGTTTCTTCATATCTATGTGTCATTAGTTTTCAATAGATGTGCCATATATCAACGGGGCTGAGGCACATGACTTATGAGGAGAGGCTGAGGGAACTGGGATTGTTTAGTCTCCAGAAGAGAAGAGTGAGGGGGGATTTGATAGCAGCCTTCAGCTACCTGAAGGGGGGTTCCAAAGAGGATGAAGCTTGGTTGTTCTCAATGGTGGCAGATGACAAAACAAGGAGCAATGGTCTCAAGTTGCAAGTGGGGGCAGTCTAGGTTGGATATTAGGAAACACTATTTCACTAGGAGGGTGGTGAAGTACTGGAATGGGTTACCTAGGGAGATGGTGGAATCTCCATCCTTAGAAGTTTTTAAGGTCAGGCTTGACAAAGCCCTGGCTTGGATGATTTAGTTGGTGTTGGTCCTGCTTTGAGCATGGGGGCGGACTAGATGACCTCCTGAGGTCTCTTCCAACACTAATCTATGATTTTATGATTTGTTCAATAGGAAAAATATTTTGCTGAACAATCACACAGATTAGAATTAAGATTTTTGTTATATTTGGCAGGGTGGATTTGATTTAAATCAGTAGTCAGGAAGGCTTGATTTAATCATGGATTTCTACATAAAAGTACATTCTTGTTGGTTGTAATGACCTTAATACATATTCTTCACAACTCAGAGATAGATATAGGTTTCATTTTTAGAAGGTTCACACTATACATTTTTTAAGTGATTTATTTTGAAAACTTTTCAGATTAGTTTTACAGCTATATCAGAAAATGAATGATTGGTTATTTCATTTACCAAAAGGTAATTGAAGCAGATATTTATGAAGTCATTGGGAGGTGAACTATCTCCAATTCAACAGGTTAATCATTAATATTTGGAGGATTTTCTTGCCATGTTGCATTAGGAGGAGAACATCACCAGACAGACATTTAAATTGTTTTATTTAACTAAAACAGCAACATTATATATTCTGGATTTTTTTTCTTCAACAGCAAACATAATATTTTAACAAAACAAGCATATTATTTTTTGAATTTAGTTAGACATTCAAGTTTTCTAGAACATAAGAACACAAGAATGGCCGTACTGGGTTAGACCAAAGGTCCATGCAGCCCAGTATCCTGTCTACCAACAGTGGCCAATGCCAGGTGCCCCAGAGAGAGTGAACCTAACAGGTAATGATCAAGTGAACTCTCTCCTGCCATCCATCACCGCCGTCTGACAAACAGAGGCTAGGGACACCATTCCTTACCCATCCTGGCTAATAGCCATTAATGGACTTAACCTCCATGAATTTATCCAGTTCTCTTTTAAACCCTGTTATAGTCCTAGCCTTCACAACCTCCTCAGGCAAGGAATTCCACAGGTTGACTGTGCACTATGTGAAGAAGAACCTCCTTTTATTTGTTTCAAACCTGCTGCCTATTAATTTCATTTGGTGGCCCCTCGTTCTTATGGAAACAAGTAAATAACTTTTCCTTATTCACTTTCTCCACATCATTCATGATTTTATATACCTCTATCATATCCCCCCTTAGTCTCCTCTTTTCGAAGCTGAAAAGTCCTAGCCTCTTTAATCTCTCCTCGTATGGGACCCATTCCAAACCCCTAATCATTTTAGTTGCCCTTCTCTGAACCTTTTCTAATGCCAGTATATCTTTTTTGAGATGAGGAGACCACATCTGTACGCAGTATTCTAAAATCAGGTTTGTTTTTGTTAAAATTGTTTTTAACTAAAATAGTTATATGAAATATTTTTTTAAAAAAACAAAAATTAAATTGACTATGTCAGCCAGGTCAACACGAGAAACTTAAAATATTGGGTCCTGTGGCACTTTAAAGACTAACAGATGTATTGAAGCATAAGCTTTCCTGGGTGAATACCCACTTCATCAGACGCATGTAATGGAAATTTCCAGAGGCAGGTATAAATATGCAGGCAAGAATCAGTCTGGAGATAACGAGGTTAGTTCAATCAGGGAGGATGAGGCCCTCTTCTAGCAATTGAGGTGTGAACACCAAGGGAGGAGTTTGGCCGATGTAAAACTGGACAGTCCCTACGTAAAAGGATAAATGGACACAAGTCAGATATTAGGAATGGCAATATACAAAAACCTGTAGGAGAACACTTCAACCTCCCTGGCCACACAATAGCAGATGTAAAAGTAGCCATCTTACAGCAAAAAAACTTCAGGACCAGACTTCAAAGAGAAACTGCTGAGCTTCAGTTTATTTGCAAATTTGACACCATCAGATCAGGATTAAACAAAGACTGTGAATGGCTAGCCAACTACAAAAGCAGTTTCTCCTCCCTTGCTGTTCACACCTCAACTGCTAGAAGAGGGCCTCATCCTCCCTGATTGAACTAACCTCGTTATCTCCAGACTGATTCTTGCCTGCATATTTATTCCTGCCTCTGGAAATTTCCATTACATGCGTCTGACGAAGTGGGTATTCACCCACGAAAGCTTATGCTCCAATACATCTGTTCGTCTTTAAGGCGCCACAGGACTCTTTGTTGCTTTTTACAGATCCAGACTAACATGGCTACCCCTCTGATACTTAAAATATTGGCTTCTGCAGCTAACTCATTCGTCCTCACTTTCATGTTCCTGTTTGTTCATAATCTGGAAAAGAAAAACAAGCTTTCCTGCTTTTTCAGGTCCCAAACATTTCTCAATTTGGAATGAATTAGTCCAAAGGAAGAAAATATTCTATCTACACTGGCAGAAGAAGCTACTGCTGTTAAAAGTGAGATTATCACTTCAACAGTCTCTGAATCCAGGTGCTTAAGTGACTTCCACCAATTCACTGGTGTGACTTTCTTTAAAACATCAGCAAACATATATTTCTTGAACGGTTCACCCTTAGCTTTGAGGTTTATTATAGTTGGCATTATGGAGGGATGATTGCTTGATGTCCATGTCATAGCCAACTCCTCTTCTTCAGCAGTTAAGGTCTGACCCTGGTACCATCCCTCCATAATCAAAGTATTGAGAATATTTGCAAGAAAATGAGCTGGAGATAATGCTTGTCCCATTCGTTTTTTTAATGCTTGTAATTTAACTCTGTCATTGCATGTTTCTCTTTTTAAGATCTCACTCAGATCCTTCCAAATTTCAACAGCGTGTGTTCAACACTTCTCTTAAGCCCAATGTTGAGAACTTTGGCTGTGACAGTGCCATCTATTTTTTCACGATTTTGTTCACAAACTGTCATCAGATTAGGCCAGTTCTTGATATAGTGCTCAAAACAGTCCACTACTGAGTTCCATCACACGTCTTCTGGGAGAGTTAGCTTGGTTCCTCCCACTTTTTTCAGAGCAGCTGCTGCAAAGTGGTTATTATGGAAGTATTTTGCAATTTCTGGAACACTGAAGTCTTTGGCTAGGAGGTGCATCAAATGAGCACTGCAACCGTATGTTATTAGCTTGGGACTCTCTTCTAAATAATTTTTTCTCATCTTGGATACATTTGCAGCATTGTCTGTGACCAAGCTGCGTACTAGACATTTGAATTTTTTCTTCAGTTTCACAGTTTGTTATAGATTTTACTGCTACTTCTTGTAAGTATTCTGCTGTGTGTGCATTTCCTGATGTATCCATTGTTTCTGTAAGGAAGACATTCCCTTCTGTTGTCATATAAGCACATATAACAGGATCACTGTGGACATTGCTCCACCCATCAAAGCTCAGGTTAACAATTTTACCCTCTAGATTTTTTGCACACTGCTCAATTTCTCTTTCATACACTTTATCCAGCAATTTGCCTGCGACATCTGCTCTATTAGGTGGACTGTATCCTGGTTTTAATGACTGAACCATGTTAATGAAGTGTGGGTTCTCAATCATATGGCAAGGAGAGTTTGTTGCATAAACAAACCAGGCAATTTTTTCATCAATTACCTCTTTTTGTAATTTGCTGGTTCTTATCACAAACTTATCTATGATTGTTTCTGGATGATGATTTTTTTTTTTTCTTTTTGCTACAGGTGATGTACTGTGGCTATGTGACATACATGATGTGACTGAAACACTATCATTGGCAGATAACTCTGAAACTATAGAAAATGATGGTGATCTTGAAGGTGGATAGTCTTCAGAATCGTGTATGTTGAGGATGGATTCTCCTAAACAAAATAAGTCAATGCAGTTATTTAATTATTATTACCATACTGCTAATTTAGTATTACTCATTGCATTCACTGACACTCAGTATATTTTAAAGTGAAATTGTAAAAGGACGATCTGCCTTTTTCAGCTATTTATTTTTTATCACAACTGCATCTAAAATGATAGTTACTCTCTGGTACTAACAACTGTATTTTTTGCTCAAACCTGAGAATTCAAGAATAGTCCAGAAGGAAGACAGGCAGTCCTTAAGAACGAAGTATGAAATAAAAAAGTTTACCAACGGTTGGTAAACTTTTTTATTTCATACTTCGTTCTTAAGGACCAACCTGAAGATCCTGCATGTTCAGACATGTTCCTTTCATCTTCAACGCAGCTTCCTCCTGAGAAGGAACACTTCTCATGATGTGGTTTCATTCAGGCAACCAGGGCTTGCATTTCTTTATTGCACTGTTTGCATTTTGCACGCATGCCTGTCTTACCCACAGGTAGAGGAACTTCATTAAAATATTCCCAAACTGGGTCTCTTTTATGGCCTGCTGCCATTATAGGTTTTCCCTTCTAGTGAGAGAATGGTATGGTAGATCTCAAATCAATGAAGGCTACACTCAGAAAGACCTCAAGACCTAGAATCATAGAATATTAGGGTTGGAAGAGACCTCAGGAGGTCATATAGTCCAATATCCGCTCAAAGCAGGACCAACACCAACTTCTGGAATATGCTGCTCAAACAGTTTCACTTTTGTTTCTACTGTCTGTTTCTCCCTTCTCACATTTATCTCCAGACTCCTTCTCCTTGTCCAGATCTATTCCGCCCCCAACAATCTTCTATTCATTTAACTTTTTGAAACTTTGCATTTTTAGAGAGAGGTAAGGGATTGACTCTGTGTAAACAAATTTGCAGAGGGACGATAGGGTTGAGATCTGTTATTTCTCACCTCTCTATATTATTTATTTATTTAAAAACATTTTTGCTGTTAACAAGCATGTTATCTCTGGAGACACAAATCCAAAGTTTGAGAACTGCAAAACTAAGCATCTCTGATGGTATCATCTAGACTGAGCACTGAGTCCCATTGGGTAGATAGAAAGATTAACCTAAATAATCTATACAGAAGCCCCTGGAACCCCATAAAATTGGGTCCCTAATCCATGAACTATTGGAACTAATTTACAAAACTTTTCTTAAACATTACATGAATATATTGTCTCATACTATAGAATTAGAATTTATAATCCCTATTCCATGATGAGATAGTTTTAATTAAGATACATTATAGCTCAAAACTATCTTCAGATACGTTTTTTCCTCAAATGTATTTTATCCAAAAAATCCGATTTAAATAAAAAAAATCAATTTTTTTTTGTTTTGTTTTGTTAAATCATTGATTTTTACCCACCCTGTTATTTGGGGACTTGCTGTAGATTTTTTTTTTTTATCTTCAGTCTATATAACTGACATTTTTCAAACTAGTAAATTCATTGTATAGTTCTCTAGAAGTGTAATTGGATGATAATTGATTCAATTTGGAATGACCTAAGACAAGTATTATGAATTGTCAAAAAGCAGGCTTATTTTCATTTAAATCAGATTTTTTAAATCAATTTGATTTAAATCAAAACCACCCTGATTTCATTGTATCTTTTCTATTCACAGTGAAGAAATGAACCGAGGGATGATGCTGAAATTGGAAAACCTGGTCCAGTTACATTGTGCTTGCAGACAGCTGCATAGTCTTTCTTACAGGAAAATTCACAGAACACAGTGGAAGCCTCTGCGGTCATCCACATACCCTATGTGGCCAGTTCAGCTGCACCCACAGCTCTGGCAAACAGACACATTCACCGGTGTTGCACTCTCACAATATAGGCTTTTAGCTACAAAGGAGGTGATGAACAAGTTCCAACAACTACTTTATCCCATCTGAAAGTACAAAGTGCAAAAAAATCAATTTTTGAGCATTTTCATTATATAAATAGAAACTCTGTTAGTAATGAATTTACTGTGTATAAGATTATTACTCCACTGTATAGAGAATTTACTTTAGATTTACAAGACATATTAATATATTTGTAGATGTATTGGCGCTCTCTCCCAAACATTCATTTGAAGTTTTTTAAATCCAAATGTTGCAGCACCAAAAATCTGAAAGAAAAACTGACTATAAACAAGTGGAAATGATTTTCATTGCTCAAAATGAGAGATATGCAAAAAACAGTAAAAATGCCGCTAAGTGATTTTTAAAATATTCACTATTTTAACATTTTTCAGTAATTTGTTTGTAATGTAGGCAAAGATATTTCTTTACAACTTACAATTTTTGTTTTCATTGGCCCTTTAAATATTGTTTATTAGTCATTCCTTAATTTATGCCACCCATATAGCCTAACGCACGTCTTACTCCTTTGTAGGGGAAAAGACCAGGGAAACAGAAATTACCACCAATAAAACCTAAAATAGAAAGGCAGGAGGTAAAGATACAGCAGAGGATGACAGTTCAAGATCTTGCAAGAGCTATGGATAAAGACATAGGTGAGCCAATTTATTCTTTTGAAAAAAGATCCAGCAGTGTTATATTTAAGACAATAATGGAGTTTTGAAGAATGCTATAGGAAATGTCATGCAAATCAATTATAATTTGATTACCACACCTTTTCTCTTCAGGATCCACAATAAATCCCCTGTCCACTGCCAGACAAACTTCTTATATCAGAGTTCTAACCAAATGAAAAGAAAACGTTAGTAGTCATATAATCCTGATTATGAACATTTATGAACACCACCGTTACATAAGAAATATTTTTGCCTTATTTGAGTGACCTTTTCTTTGTATGTTTGTCTCTGTGAGCCTACATCTTCTGTTTCTGATTTTTTTTCCCTCTATGTTCTTCACTTTTCCTGCCAACAGGTAGAGAATTAGAATAGCACCATCTTCCTATGGTGAAATACTTTACATACTGTATTAGATAAATTGTGAATGAAATTGACTAGGATTATGCAACTGTTTTTATCAAATGTTTCAGTGCAGAAGAATAGCACCACTCTAACGCTACATCTTTAGCACAGCTTTCCAGCAGACATCAGTCAGGAAAGGCTTGGTGCGCTGAGGTCCTCAAGCTGAAAACTGATGGTAAAAGACCAAACAAATCATGGTGGTGTTGCCATATTAGTGCACGTTTTGAGCAGCGTATTTAATACTTGACTTTCCACTAGCAAACAAGCAATTATAATTCCACTCTTTTAACATATTTTGTCAGCTAGAACAACGTGGGCCTTGAGGCTAATTTCCAATGCAGACAATTTCAACAATTGCTATAGCTGTACTAGTGCAAAACCCAAATGTAGGCAGAGAAAGCTGGGATTTACACCAGTAGAGCTTACATCTGTTTGAAACAGGAGTAACCTCCATCCATGCAAATTGTAATTTCCCTTATTTACATTAGAGGTTGCAGTGGTGCAGCTGCAGTGATGGCTGAAATTGGGCTATTTCCCAGTGCAGACAAAGCTTTACTTACTAATATACACTAATAAAGTTTTAGGGTCATAGTGCTATATTTTTACACTTTCAGCAAATATATTATACCATTGATGCCTGAAATCAATTGTTTATCAGAATTAAACTAATTTTCAGTTTTTTTTACCTAATTCTGTACTCACGTACATGCCCATCTTAACAGCCTTTCTCAGCACTGTGCTGAGAATAAAGAAAATCTGCCATGGCTCTTTGGGCAGGTCTACACTTCGGGGGGGGGGAATGTCGATCTAAGATACGCAACTTCAGCTACGAGAATAGCGTAGCTGAAGTCGACGTATCTTAGATCGATTTACCTCGCATCCTCACAGCGCGGGATCGACGGCCGCGGCTCCCCCGTTGACTCCGCTTTCGCCTCTCGCTCTGGTGGAGTTCCGGAGTTGACGGGGAGCGCGTTCGGGGATCGATTTATCGCGTCTAGATGAGATGCGATAAATCGATCCCCGATAGATCGATTAGTACCCGCCGATCCGGCAGGTAGTGAAGACGTACCCTTTGTGTATGTCTGAGATGTCTGCTGACTCATTAAATTTTCCAGTAGTGCTCATGTCACTCATTAGCAACTCTTAATTGTTGCATTGTTTCCTGCATTTCCAGTACTACAAAAGAGGGGGAATGAACAGATTTGTCTGAGATTTTGTCATCTTCTGTGGCACTTCTCTACCATCTAATTCCGATGAGTTGAGTTCCTTTGATCTGGTAAACGTTTGGACTGAAATAAGTAAATAAAACAATTGGACCAACCTAGACATTTAAAAAAAATGTCCCACAGGTGATAGGAGAAAGTGTTCTTTTATTTGTTGATGCTCTAGCACACTCAGTATGAATTTTAATGGGATAGGCTGGGATAATAGAGGAGGTAAGTCTACAAAATAAACCCATTTGCTCACTTTCTCAGAAACCTGATGGGGGAGGGGAGTCTTAACCTTGGTTGTGTGTGTGTTAGAGGGCAGAATTTGGCTGTTAACTTTGGCCGGTTCCTATTTGCAATTGTACGCCCTCCCCCTGCTTTCACTATTGCATAATATACCTCTGGCAACTGCTGCTATAGAACTAAATGGGAAAGTGATAAAGAAAAGTGTTTTCAGCAATCCCTAATGCAGTTTAACACCTGGAAATAAAAGGAACCAGTGCCATGTGACCAGCCTATTCTCATGGACCACGAGTAAATACTTTTTTTTGCATCACCAGATGTACTTGAAACTTCAGTTCTCTTGCTAGTCATTTACTCTGTGCATAGGATGAAAATATATCAAAAACTTGAAAGTTATGCATATTAATAAAATCATTACATCATTTAATTAGATGGTTTTGTTTCAGAACAGCTAATTGAAGATGATTGGTCCATATAAATATACAATATTATAGGAATGTTTTATATTAATCTGGGACAAGTAAAAATACTTTCAAGATGGAGTATTTTGGGAAGATGTACATTAACTACTGTAAAAAGCAACAAAGAGTCCTGTGGCACCTTATAGACTAACAGACGTATTGGAGCATAAGCTTTCGTGGGTGAATACCCACTTCGTCAGACGTGCTTTTTACAGATCCAGACTAATACAGCTACCCCTCTGATAATTAAGTACTGTGTGTATAAATCATTTATTTGCACTACTAATTCACATCCAACATACCGAGAAAAGGAAGGAAAACTGCTACTTTTCCTTCACTGCCCTGCACTTCCTTGAGTGGAGCTGGAATATTGGATGAAAGCATTTATTGTATTAATGGGTATCTCTATCGCAGGTACCTTCTGGAGGATAAAGTGTTGTTAAATGTTTTTACTATTTCTTTAATCAGATCATGTGTATGAAGCCCTACTACTCACAGGTGTTGACCTAGACTCACTAGAACCAGATTCAGTTTTGGAAGAAGTCTGGATTAAGGAAGTTGTTAATAAATCAGGGATGAAATGCAAATGGGCAAAATTAAAACAAGAAAAAGTCAGAGAAAATAAAGATGCTGTGAGAAGGTAAAATTGTGGTGGTTCTTTTGATTGTTTCCTACTACTATTAAAATAGCACATTTGGGATATACAGCTGATAATATTTAAAAAATAAATTTTAACTTCTGGTTTGATTCCTTTGCCCATGTAATTTGCTACATCAGTGTTAAGACGTCTTCTGTTTTAGTTGATGTTGATTTTTGTGAAACTTTCTAAAAAATGTTGCTTCTTGCTTCATCTAATTGGGGTTGCTGTATTAATTGATACTGACATAAATAAGATTGTTTGCTATAAAGAGGGAAAAATACTTTAATTAGTGATTTTTTTATTACATTTTGTTCTTTGTGAAGGCTAGGGGGAGAACTCGACTGTTCTATTAAACACTGAGCTATAATACATGGCTACTAATTATACATAGAGATCATTATTGCCCATAGATATTACACAGAGTGTTTGACAAAACTAATGTTTTGCTATTAATTGTAGGCCTCCTGCTGATCCAGCTTTATTAACCCCAAGGCCTCCAGTTGTTACTATATTGGGCCATGTTGATCATGGGAAAACAACTTTACTTGACAGTCTGCGAAAAACTCAAGTGGCAGCAATGGAAGCAGGAGGCATCACCCAGCATATTGGTGCCTTTCTTGGTATGATTTACCCATATATATATATATATAAACAGTTTGTTATACACTATATATAGTAGTCAGCTTTGCTTACAGTTTACTTGAACAGAATACAATTATATGCAAGGTTTTTTGCTATATAGCAGAAAAAAACATGAACATATTGCTTGGATGGAACTTAAAAGCATTATGCATACTATTTGCAATGTTGAAATAATACTGTCATAAACATACAGCTAAGGGTAGCATGAAATCCCTCTTTTACCTGTAAAGGGTTAAGAAGCTCAAATAACTTGGTTGGCACCTGACCAAAAGGACCAATAAGGGGAGAAGATACTTTCAAATCTGTGGGGGAAGGTTTTTGTTTGTTCTCTTTATGTGTTCTCTCCGGGTCAGCGAGGAACCAGGGCAGGGAAAATACATCTCCTAAAGCCATACCTGAACTAAGCATCTAAGATTACAAATTGTAAGTAATAGGAAGGAAATGTTAGATTATCTTTTGTTTTAGCTTGTGAATTTTCACTAGGCTAAGAGGGAGGTTTATTCCTGTTTTTTTTGTAACTTTAAAGTTTTGCCTAGAGGGGAATCCTCTGTGTTTTGAATCTGATTACACTGTAAAATTAACTTCCATCCTGATTTTACAAATGTGCTTCTTTTACTTTTTTTCTTTATAATAGGGTCTGGTCTGTGCTCACCGTGGTTACCTATTTGGTTGGCATATTATTCTCAAGCCTCCCCAGGAAAGGGGGTGAAGGGGGTTGGGGGAATATTTGGGGGAAACAGGAACTCCAAGTGATCCTTTTCCTGAATCTTTTGTCTAACTCACTTGGTGGTGGCAGCGATACCATCCCAGGGCAAGGAATTTGTGCCTTGGGGAAGTTTTTAACCTAAGCTGGTGGAATATAAGCTTAGGGGTTCTTTCATGCAGGTCCCCACATCTGTACCCCAGAGTTGAGAGTGGGGAGGGAACCCGGACAAATACTATAAGGACTTGATCACTTGGGGACATTAAAGATCCCATGGCACTTTTTGCAAGTGTAAGGATAAAAAAAAACCCCCTGCATCCTGGCCCAATTCCAATTTTCATAATTGTAGTGTGCCTATCTGCCATTCCTCTTGTAGTTACAATTTCATATGTTGTTCTTCCTTCCTGTCCTAGAGAGAGGTAACATGGTCTAGTGCAGAGTACGTTGGATTTGGATTCAGCATCCTTTTGTTTTGTTCACAGCTCTGCCACTGACCTTGCTGTGGGCAAGTCATTTCATATTTGTGCTTCAATTTCCCTGCCTGTAAAATAACCCTTCTTTTATAAAACTCTTAGAAATTCATAGATTAAAAGTGTTATATATAGTTTTATGTATATATTAAACTGTTGGATAGTGTTGCTTTTTAAAACTGAAGACTTGCTGTGCTTCACCTCAAGACTCGTTCTGCATTTCAGTTGTGGGTGAGGTGATATACGTACGTTAGGATGTTTCTGGATAAAAGGCACTATGACAGATTTTCAAAGGGGACTCAGGCAGTCAGGCACCCAACTCCCTTTTGATAGGCATCCAGTTCCGATTGCAGATCTGCCTTAGACCCCCTTGGAAGTCCCAGTCTTTATAAATTAAACTCGTCATTATCCTTTAACCACTGAGTTTGTCTCCAGTGGTATGCTCATTAGTAGCACTGCTTTTTTCACGTTTTTGATATCTGCTATGACAGAAACAGTGTGTTAACTTTCATAGATGATATACAAATTGTTCATGGAGGAAGGTGTATTAGTTCAAAGAAAACTATGGGAAAGATTATGCTTAAAGTATATTGTGTTTTAAATTATGTTTTCACAGTACATTTGCCTTCTGGGGAAAAGATAACTTTTCTTGATACTCCAGGACATGCTGCCTTTTCAGCAATGAGGGCAAGGGGTACACAGGTCACTGATATTGTCATATTGGTTGTAGCAGCAGAAGATGGAGTAATGAAACAAACTATAGAATCCATTCAACATGCTAAAAATGCCAAAGGTACTGTATATTTGACCTTTTAACATTTCATTTTTTTAAATTTGTGGTGTGTTAATACCCAGCACTATATACCAAGACATGCTCTAGTAACAATTCAAAGAATAAACACTGGTACAAAACAAATAGCAGCCTGTCCTCTCCCACAAAAGATAATCCTCCTACCAAATCCAAGTCCATTCAGGTTGGGGATGTTTTTCTCCTTAAAGAATCCTATGAAATAACTGAGTCCATTTTGTAGCAATATAAATGTGTCTAATAGATTCTGAGGCCCAAAGGGACCATTGTGATCATGTAATCTGACCTGTATAGCACAGCCCATAAAACTTCCCCAAAATAATTTCATAGAAAACATCTTGTAGAAAAACATCCAATCTTGATTTTAAAATTGTCAGTGACGGAGAATCCACCACGACGCTTGGTAAGTTGTTCCAGTGGTTGGTTACTCTCAACTTCCGGCCATTGGATAAAGTTATACCTTTCTCTGGTAGACCTGAAGAGCCCATTATTAAATACTTGTTCGCTAGCTAGATTCTTACATTCTGTAATCAAGTCACCCTTAACTTTCTCCTTGTTAAGCTAAATAGACTCAAAGAGCTCAATCTATCACTATAAGGCATGTTTTCTAATCTTTTAATCATTCCCATGGCTCTTCTCTGAACTCTCTCCAATTTATCAACATCCTTCTTGAATTGTGGGCACCAGAACTGGACACAGTATTACAGCAGCAGTTGTACCAGTGCCAAATACTGAGGTAAAATAAACCTCTCTACTCCTACTTGTGATTGCCCTGTTTATGCATCCCAGGATCACATTAGTTTTCTTGGCCACAGCATCTCATTGGGAGCTCTTGTTCCGCTGATTATCAACCACAACCCCCAAATCGTTTTCAAAATCACTGCTTCCCAAAATAGAGCCCCCGATCCTGTAAGTATGGCCTAAAATATACACATTTACATCTGACTGTATTTAAAATGCATATTCTTTGGTTGAGCCCAGTTTACCAACCGATCCAGATCTTTCTGAATCAGTGGTCTGTCCTCTTCGTTGTTTACCACTTCCCCAACTTTTGTGTCATTTGTAAACTTTATCAGTGATGATTTCATGTTTTCTTCCAGATTATTGATAGAAATATTAAGTAGCATATGGCCAAGAACCAACTCCTAAAGGACCCTACTGGGAATTGTACCTGTTCACTGCTTTCCAGATCATGTGTAGTCTTGGAGGAATGTACTACCTACGCCTGATCCCACTGATTGCTTTTAACCCCAATCTACAGAGTGGAGGGATTTTAATAGCATATCTTTCTAGAATCATAAGGCTAGTTCCCTCTACTCATTTTACAGAGAAATCAGAATAATTGAGGTCTAGCAGTTTCATAATTCCATTTTTAAAATGTCTTTGCAATTTCAGAAGTCTTTGGCAGCTTGATATTCAATGGTCTAAATTTGTTTCCAAATCACTTTCAACTTTTCAGGGTTTTATAATCCTTAGTTTTCTCACATAGAACAGTAACATGGCCAGCACTGGAATTTTTCAGTATCTTCAGTATTTTTTGTCTTGATTTCTATAGCCTTAATCTTAAAATTTTTATTGTAGCCTAGATAGTAACACATTAATTATAAATATATTAGCGGGTAATTCTTTAAACAGCTTTCTATAACTCAAGGCAACTGATTTTTCTTGACATGTGAGGAAGATTTTTTTTTTTTCTTTATCATTATCACCATAGTTAAGGTGGAACTAGTCAACGTTTATGCATAGGAAGGTAAATTTCAATGATGATTTTGCAAAGTATTTTAAAAATAGATCTAAGTTGTTTTGTGGGTTAGATCTCTGCCAGTGAATGACAGTAAAGTCTTTGATATTAAAATATGGGTTCCTTGCTAAAGAGACATTTTTGAAATATGCTGCTGGTTCTTTTGCTATCTCAGGGCTTTCTTCCTGAGCATCTTGTAAAGTTTTAGCTCTTCTTCTACCACCAAAAGAAAAGCGGATCAAAGCAATGCTATGAAAAGACATTTACAATCTTGAGCCACTCACATGATTTTAGCAGCCTTAGCGAGGTTGCATTGTGATTAACTCTTTTACATCAAATTGACCCGGGCTTAAATTCCAGATTTTTCACAGTGTATGTGTTAGGCAGCAGTTTGCAGAATCACTTTGAGTGGAGAGGAGATGAAAAGTTCTAGAGTAGTTTTGGCAAATGCACCACCACAAAACCTGTTCTGACTTTTGATGAAATTGAGAACAATATGATGATGCACAGAGAAGAGAAAAAGGTGCTTTTTTCCTCTACAGTTCTCAGAGGGTGGACCCCCAGCTCCCGAAGGGTCTCTGTTATAATAAATTTCTTTGACTGAGGGCGTGGGAGGGCTAGGTGGCAACCCCTTTGACACCATTAATGCTGCATTTAGCTTGGCTATATGGATCACTGCAGAGGGGGGCATGAAGAGTTTCCCTTCCTGCTGCTTCTGCACCCACCAGGCGTGAGAATCCTTCCAGATTTCCAGTTCACATCCTAAAACATATGTTTTAAAGCCCAGAATGGGACATCTAAAAACTTTATTTGTGGTGAACAGAGAGAAGCTAAGTTTGCACTTGGAGAATTCTACCATAGTTACACCTACATAACTACACCTCTAGCTTTTGTAAACAGAATTTATTCCTTACTTCTTTAATTTTGCTAGTGAATACAAATGAACAGTAGTGTTGATTCTCTTTGTTGACTGATGCATATAGATATTGGTAACAGGCATCTTAGAAATAGCTAGGATAGATAGTACTGAGTATTATAGGTTCATAGATTGTAAGTAGGGCCCTACCAAATTCAAGGCCATGAAAAACATGTCACGGACTATGAAATCTGGTCTCCCCCCCCCCCCCCCGAAATCTGGTCTTTTGTGTGCTTTTACCCTATAATATGCAGATTTCATGGAGGAGACCAGCGTTTCTCAAATTGGGGGTCCTCACCCAAAAGGGAGTTGTAGTTTCCAGCTGCCCAGCTCTGAAGGCAAAGCCACCACCAGCAGCAGTGCAGAAGTAGTGACAGCCTGGTATGGTATTGCCACCCTTATTTCTAGGCTGCTGCCTGCAAAGCTGGGCCCTCAGTCAGCACCCGCCTCTCTCTGGCCGCCCAGCTCTGAAGGCAGCAGCACAGAAGTAAGGGTGGCAATACTGCGACCTGCCCCCTCCCTAAAATAACCAGGTGACCCCCCCCCCCTGCAACTCTGTTGAGTCAGGAACCCCAAATTGAGAAACATTAGTCTCCCCTGTGAAATCTGTATAGTGTAGGGTAAAAGCACACAAAAGACCAGATTTCACGGTCTGTGACGCATTTTTCATTGGTGTGAATTTGATAGGACCCTAATTGTAATAATCTACTCTGACCTCCTGCATAACACACATTAGTAACATTCTATTGGGTAAGATACTTTAGCACTACTATCCATTATTTACAAAATGTCACTCTGGAGCTAGTTTTCATGGCTTTATTGCATTGTTACTAGCACCAGTTTTAATAAAAACAATAAAAAATACTTCTTGTGTTTTCCCACAATTTTGCAACCCAAAACAGCAGTGATATTTTATTAATGTCATGTTCAATGTTTGGACAGTTTATGAGCATAGTTTTAAGCCTAGTGCAAACAAATGTGCTTGTTGAATGTGTAAACAGGAGTCACTTGTGTTTCATATAGCAAACAGTAATAACTGAAGAAAAGGCACATTACCTTAATTTAGAGCTTAGGTAAATGTTGTGATACCGGTGTAAGAGAGATATATACTCATTTCTTTCTCAGTTCCTATCATCCTTGCCATAAACAAATGTGACAAACCTGAAGCTGATCCTGAAAGAGTGAAGAAAGAATTGCTGGCTCATGATGTGGTTTGCGAAGAGTATGGGGGTGATGTTCAGGCTGTACATATGTCTGCACTTAAGGTAAAATTTTGGTGGATGAATGGTCATGTTCGGGGAATTCTGCCAGGTGGAATACAGACCATGCTTTGATTTGGCACTTGGAAAATGAAAGATTTGAGTTGGGGCCTACTCCTTGAGTATGCTGAGTGCCCTGAGCTCCCAATGGAGTCAGTTGGAACCAAGAGCTCTCAGTTTCTTGCAGGTTCAGGCCTTTAGTGAGCAAGAGACTAGCAGTAGAATTACAGACTTCCAGTTGCCTCTGATTTTTGTTAGTGGGTATTTGTTCCAGACTTCTGTCACTTACTCATATTAGCACTTTAAGTAAAAGGCATCCAGAGGAGTTAGTGCTGAAGTTAGGCAGAAAGGAATATTTCAAAACCAAGTATAAACCTTCATAATACAAGTTTGGACATTGGGGAACAGTTGGCAGAAGAGAGCAAGTCTCATAAATCTGTTTCCTCTAGACAACTGGTAGTTAATTACTATAATCTGAAATCCTAGTTCTTCGGGTGATTGCTCCTGTGTATTCCACAGTAGGTGTGCGTGCTCGCCACGTGCACCGGTGCCGGCAGTTTTTCCCTTAACAGTACCCGTAGTGGGGAGCACCGCTGCGACCCCTAGAGTGGTGCCACTATAGCGCACTATAAGGGGAGCTGCGCTCTCCCCCCACCCTCAGTTCCTTCTTGCCACCAGTGAAGGTAGTCAGAACTTGTGCTCCAGCTTTGCTGCAGCCTTCTCTTCTCTAGCGGTACCATTCGTCGGATCGTTTTCTCAGCATTGGCTCGGACCCGGGGCATGCCCCGCGCTCCAGGCTTCAAGTCGTGCGACTCCTGTCGCCGCTCTATGCCCAGGAGCGACCCCCATGCTAAGTGTGTTTGCTGCCTGGGTGAGACTCATGTTAGTGACCGTTGCAAAATCTGTAGGTCGTTCAAACCAAGGACTAAAAAGGAGAGGGACTTCAGACTCAGAGCTCTCCTGATGGAGTTGACGTTGGCTCCGACCCCGGTGCGCAGATCGGACTCGGATGCCGGCCACCGTGTCGTCGGTATGCAGCGAGGCCCCTTCAACCAGCAGGCACCGCTGTCCTGCCAAAAAGCAGGGGAAGAGCTCGGCCTCGCAACGATGCCGCGACAAGGATAAGGGGGAGGCTGGTCCTGCGCTGGGCAGCCCTCGGTTCCCCCCGGGCTTAAGACCGCCAACTCGAGTGGAGCAGAGCAGCCCGGTGCAGTCGACCCAGACATCCCCGGTACGGATGCCGTCGACGCCGGAGGCAGTGCAGGCGGCAAAGAACATTATGTCTTTGCCCGTTCCGAGCTCGCAGCTGAGTACGACCCCCAGGTCTCGGGGTAAGCCCCCCTTAGGGGACCGTTCGGCTTCTTCAGTGAGCAGTGGCTCTTGCTCCGAAGACAGCTCGACGCACCGCTCGACGCACAGCGGCCGCTCGTCAAGCGACACCCGGCCGCCGTCGACGCTTCCCAGACCCTCTGTCCCGCCGCCGAGACGGGAACCACGGGCCCCTCCTGCAGGCACCAGGAGAGGTACCGGGAACGCTCCCTGGCCCGACGTGAGTACCGGAGGAGATCTCGACGTGACAGGCGGCGGCGTTCGCGCTCCAGCTCCCGCTCGACCAGACGCCGCAGCAGAGGCTCCCCGCATGGTACCTCGGCGTCGAGGCACCGCGCTTCGTACCGTCGTCACGGCTACCGAAGCAGCTCGTCGAGAGAGTACCATTCCTCGTCTTCAAGGTCCAGATCACGAGGGAGACACCGCCACAGGCACCGCTCCCGCGGCACCGAGCGCTCTTCAGCCACCTCGGCCTCGGTCCCCTTCCCGTCCTCGGGCCGTGTGGCCCCGCCGGGACTCATTGTACCTCCCGGTACCCAGCAAACCCAAGGCTACGGAACCCCGTGGCAGGGGCAATGGTGCCAGTGGGCGCCGTGGCAGCAGGTACCGAACCAGCCCGGGGCCCGTTCTGTCGCCGGAACGTCCCAAGCCCCATCGGCCTCGTCGGGCCGTCGACGGGCCAAGGCTTGGCAGACCCGCCTCTGGACTCCGACCTGGGTCTCGATGCCCTGGCACCGATTGTGGTGCGCGACTCCGCGCGTGCTGCGTCTCCGGAACTGGACGACGCGATTGTGGCACCGCCGCCCTTGGTCCCGCAGGAGGACTTCAAGGCGCACCAGGACTTGCTGAAGCGGGTGGCTTCCAGCCTTCAGCTACAAGCCGAGGAGATGGAAGGACCGTTGGACTCCCTCTTCAACGTGCTATCCCCCTTGGCACTGGGCCGTGTGGCCCTACCATTACACCAAGGTGTCGTCAACATCACCATTGCCATGTGGCAAACTCCCGCCTCCTTGGCACCGATTTCCAAGAAGGCCAAGAGAAAATACTTTGTGCCTGCGAAAGGTCACGAGTACCTTTACTCCCACCCGGCGCCTAACTCACTTGTGGTGGAATCGGTGAACCACAGGGAGCGCCAGGGCCAACCCGTGCCAACCCCTAAGAATAATGACACCAGGAGGCTCGACTCCTTTGGCAGAAAAATTTATTCATCAGCCAGTTTTCAGCTGAGGGTAGCCAACCACCAAGCCTTACTCAGCAGATATGACTTTAACTTGTGGGAGTCCTTGCCTAAGTTCGAGCCCCTTCTCACGGACAAGGATAGGAAGGACTTCAAGGCGCTGGTGGAAGAAGGGTCGGCGGCGGCTAAGGCGGCCCTGCAGGCGGCATCGGATGCGGCTGATATGGCGGCTCACTCCATGGCTTCCGCAATCTCCATGCGCTGGGCGTCATGGCTCCTGTTGTCAGGTCTGTCAACAGAGGCCCAATCTCTGATGCAGGACCTTCCGTTCGATGGCAAGGTGCTCTTTGCGGACCAGACGGACGTCAGGCTGCATGGGATGAAAGACTCCCGCACCACCCTGTAGACCTTGGACCTCTACATCCCCCCGGCGAAGGACAAGGCCAAACCCAGTCCGGCGGCTCTGCCTGCTAGGAGCCCCCATACAAAAGGCCCAGAGACCAGAAACACCGGTCTCAGAGGCAGTCCCGCTCTACCCAGCAGCCTGGTCCCCCTAAGGGCAAGAGGCAGGGAAAGCGGCGGTTTTGACTATCAACAGGGGGGCACCGGGCCTGTTGCCAGGGAGACCCCCTGACCAATAAAGTTTGTGTTCTGCAACCGATTGTCTGCCTTCCTCAGAGCATGGTCCCGCATAACGTTGGACCAATGGGTCCTCAGTACCATTTCCAAGGGATACGTGTTGCAGTTCACTTCTCCCCCTCCACGCCACCTGCCCATCACCTGGGGCTTGGGGGATCCCGAGCACGCCCGTCTCCTGGGCCAGGAGGTGGATTGGCTACTCAGCCTCGGGGCGGTGGAACGTGTCCCGACACAGTTCCAGGGCAAGGGGTTTTACTCCCGTTACTTTCTCATCCCCAAGGCGAAAGGGGGTCTCAGACCCATCCTGGACCTGTGCAACCTGAACAGGTTTCTAACCCGTTCCAAGTTCCTCATGGTGTCCCTGTCTTCCATCATCCCCTCTGTAGACCCGGGGGATTGGTATGCTGCCCTGGACCTCCAGGACGCTTACTTCCACGTCCACATTTTCGAGGGGCACAGACGCTTCCTCAGATTCGTGGTGGGGACGGGACACTACCAGTTTGTGGTCCTCCCCTTTGGCCTGTCCACAGCCCCCAAGGTATTCATGAAGTGCATGGCAGTGGTGGCAGCCTACTTCAGAAAACGGGGTGCAAATCTTTCCTTACCTGGACGACTGGCTCCTCAAGGGCGACTCTTGTCCAGAGGTGGAGTTCCACGTACGGCTACTCCTGGCCACCTGCAAAAGCCTAGGTCTAGTCGTGAATGAGACCAAATCTACCCTAGTACCGGTCCAGCGCATAGAGTTCATTGGGGCTCTCCTAGACTCCTCCAAGGCTACGGCCTCTCTTCCCCTGGTCAGGTTCGAGACCCTGAAGGCTCTCATCACCTCGGTCTCCCAGTTCCCGGTAACCATGGCCAGGGCATGCCTCCGATTCCTGGGTCACATGGCGGCCTGCACGTATGTGGTCTGCCATGCCAGACTCCGGATGAGGCCCCTCCAAATCTGGCTAGCCTCCCAATTCTCACAAGCCCGAGACGGCCTGGACAAGGTCCTCACAATCCCGTCCCCGGTGCTGGCTTCCCCTCAGTGATGGACCCTCCCGAGCAATATACTACAAGGGGTTCCCTTCAGAGAGGCCAGCCCATCAGTAGATCTGATGTCCGATGCTTCGGACCTAGGCTGGGGAGCCCACATAGGAAACGTGCAGACCCAAGGGATGTGGTCGACCCCGGACTTGTTCCTACACATAAATGTCAAGGAACTCAGGGCGATACACCTGGCGTGTACAGCGTTTCTCACGCACTTCCACGGCAGGGTAGTCAGAGTACTCACGGACAACACCGCCGCCATGTACTATATCAACAAGCAGGGCGGGACTCATTCCCTAGCCCTCTGCTGGGAAGCCCTAGCCTTATGGGAGTTTTGTATAGCCCATGATATCTCCCTACGGGCGGCTCACCTTCCAGGCGTCCGCAATATGCAAGCAGACCGCCTCAGCAGGGTCTTCTCCCCCCAGTACGAGTGGTCGCTCCTCTCGGAGGTCACTCATCGGCTCTTCCAAGAGTGGGGAACTCCCCAGATCGACCTATTTGCAACCCGATGGAACCAGCGTTGCCCCCAGTTCTGCTCCAGGGGAGGGGTGGGGAAGGACACGATCTTGGACGCGTTCCTCATGAGCTGGTCGGGCCAGCTCCTATATGCCTTCCCCCCGCTTCCCCTCATCCCCAAGGTCCTGGAAAAGGTGAAAGTGGACAAGGCAAGGGTCATTCTCATAGCCCCAGCGTGGCCCCGCCAGCATTGGTACGGGCCCCTCTTACGCCTCCTGGTGGCCCCCCCCGAGGGCACTACCGCTCCGTCCAGACCTCCTCTCCCAGGAAGGAGGGCGCCTCCTCCATCCCAATCTGGCCGCGCTCCACCTGACAGCATGGCTGCTCCGTGGCTGAATGAGGAGGAGAGCAGGTACTCAGAGCAGGTGAGGCGAGTCCTCCTGGAAAGCAGGAAGCCATCCACGCGTCGAACGTATGTAGCAAAGTGTTCCAGGTTTGCCAAGTGGTCGAGCGAGCGGGGAGTTTCCCCCTCCGCAGCTCCTCTCCAGTTCGTCCTGGATTACCTTTTGTCCCTTAGGACCCAAGATCTGGCACCTCGCAGCCATATCGGCCTTTCACTCGCCGGTGCGGGGGCACTCGGTCTTCTCCCACCCTATGACCTCCCGTTTCCTGAAGGGCCTAGTTCATTCGTTCCCATATGCTAGACCCCCGGTGCCACAATGGGACCTCAACCTGGTCTTGTCACATCTCACGGGGCCCTGCTTTGAGCCGCTAGTCACATGCTCTTGGTCACACCTCTCGTGGAAGGTGGCCTTCCTCGTGGCGATCACGTCTGCCTGACGTGTCTCCGAGCTCAGGGCCCTAACCTCGGAACCCCCCTATACGGTTTTCCATAGGGACAAGGTCCAGCTTCATCCACACCCGGCATTCCTCCCGAAGGTGGTCTCCCCTTTCCATATGGAGCAGAGTATCTTTCTTCCCGTGCTCTGCCCTAAAAGCCCCACTTCTCTAATGAGAAGCGTCGCCTCCACGTGTTAGATGTGCGTAGAGCGTTGGCTTTTTATCTGGATCGGACCAAGCCGTTCCGGAAATCCTCTCAACTCTTTGTTGCCTCGGCCGAGCGGGCAAGAGGGCAACCTATCTCGACCCAGCGGCTTTCCCGCTGGATTACCTCATGCATACGCACGTGCTATGACCTGGCAGGGATTCCCCCGCCACCTATCGTTAAGGCTCACTCGATGAGGGCTCAGGCCTCATCAACTGCCTATGCCGCCCATGTCCCTATTCAAGACATCTGTAGGGCGGCCACGTGGGCCTCTGTTCACATGTTTACTTCGCATTACGCGATCGTCTCCCAGTCTAGGGACGATGCAGGGTTCGGCAGGGCGGTACTTCGTCCCGAACCATCGTGAACTCCTACCCACCTCCAACAGATACTGCTTGGAATCACCTCCTGTGGAATACACAGGAGCAATCACTCGAAGAAGAAAGGACGGTTTCTGGCGTTCTTCGAGATGTGTTGCTCCTGTCTATTCCACATCCCGCCCTCCTTCCCCTCTGTCGGAGTTGTCTGGCAAGAAGGAACCGAGGATGGGGGGGACAGCGCAGCTCCCCTTATAGTGTGCTATAGTGGCGCCACTCTAGCGGTCGCAGCGGTGCTCCCCACTATGGGTACTGCTAAGGGAAAAACTTCCGGCACTGGTGCATGTGGTGAGCACGCACACCTACTGTGGAATAGACAGGAGCAACATATCTCAAAGAACGCCAGTTACAGAACAGGTAATTGTCCTTTTTACTACTTGTACTTGATTCTGTGGTGACCAGTGTTATCTTGTCAGGAATTAAATCTGCAGCATGCTAATGATTTTATTGCTGTCTTTCTGCATTGATCCTATTCTCCCGCCGCCCTCCCCCCATGAATTGCCAGCAAATTCAAGCACTTCTGAAATTATGCACTCAGTCATCCACAATGTGGGTACATAAAAATGGTGTCTTTACTCATTTTTGTGGTAGCCTCATTGTTACATTATTTTTCACTGACCTGTGGTTACTGATAATCTCTTTGTGGCATGTCCATTTGTGACGTTCTGTACCTCATGGGAACACCCTACACCCCCATGTTCATCCTTGTAAAATGATTGTGTGGTATCCAATGCAAAGTTTGTTATGTCCGATGTCTTCGGAAGGCTCATGTTGCACTGAGCATTGTTGTTACAGTAATATTATAGGTTATAATTTCATGTATATAGTTAGGAGGCTGAAAATGTCTTCATGGCTTAAAATAAGCCCACGTAGAAACTCTCCAAGAGCAGAGAGGCAGTTCGTACCTCATCAGGGCATGTATGGGACAAACCCAGCCCAGCCTCACAGGAGCAAAGGATGCTGTCCTAGGCAGGAACAAAAGGATCTGTTGGACTCTCGAGTTGGACTCCCCTTCCTTTGGACAGTTTGGGACAGCGATGAGGTAATGCTCACCTGACTCTGAAGGGGGGGGGCAAAGCCAAGAGGGAAGAAAGAACATGATAAAAGGGAGAGACGTTTGCCATGCTCTTCCTCTCTCTTCCACCTCCATCTACAGACATCACCCCTAAGCGACTGAAGCGCTGATCAAAGGAGAGAGCCTGGCTGAAGGGCAACCAGCCAGCCTGTGGTGAGACGTGTCTAAATTTGTAAGGGCATTGAAAGTGTTAAGATCAGCTTAGAATGCATTTTGCTTTTATTTCATTTGACCAAATCTGACTTGTTGTGCTTTGACTTATAATCACTTAAAATCTATCTTTATAGTTAATAAATCTGTTTGTTTATTCTACCTGAAGAAGTACGTTCGATTTGAAGCATGTCAGAGACTCCCCTTGGGATAACAAGCCTGGTACATATCAATTTCTTTGTTAAATTGACAAACTCATATAAGCTTGCAGCGTCCAGCGGGCATAACTGGACACTGCAGGACAGAGGTTCTTAGGGCTGTGTCTGGGACCGGAGATATTGGCTAGTGTTATTCGGTTGCACAATCCGAGGAGCAGCTTACATGCTAGAGGCTGTGCGTGAACGGCCCAGGAGTGGGGGTTCTCACAGCAGTGCAGAGTAAGGCTGGCTCCCAGAGTCAAGGATTGGAGTGACCTAGCGGATCACCGATCCAGATAACACCAGGGGAATGTCACACCACTCTCTTTCCTATCCTGAAAAGAAAATTGTAGGTCTCTAGAATGATGAAGAGAGAAGAGGAAGGACTGAGATGAACAATTACCACAATGTCTCTTTTCTATCCCTAAACCATTAGTTGATCACTTTCAGTTGCTCTCCTTTTATACCCTACTTGCTGACTTGCTTCTCTGAACTTTATTTGGGAATTACATTGTAAATATCGTGTTAATGTTTCATTTTTGCCTGCCTGTGTATGAACAGATTGATACAAGCTCACTACTGGCATCACAGTCCTAATTCACATTCTGCTTAGACTGCTATGCGACCAGCCCTGAGTGCTGCTAACTGGTTGATCAGGAACAAAAAAAAGGTCCTTTCCATTGTACCTTTACTTCAGCCCTGACAAAGCAGTAGAGTTAATGGGAGCTATGAGGAAGCTGGGGGCAGCTGCTCAGAGTCCGGAGAGAGAGGGGCAAAATTGGTTCTGAAATGGGGAAAGGGTACACCCTAACTACCACACCAGGTTTCTCCTCCTACCCAATTTGCTCCATGTCCCCACATCCACCTCTCTCCACTCCTCAATAAATAAATAAATAAATGTCAAGGGTGGAAAATATTTTTAAAAGAATAGTTTTACTAATATAAAGATTAAACTCCCTTCCTATTTCCAGCACTAACCATGGATGCCAGGCTGCTATTGCTCGTGATATGCAAGGCCCCCTCTCTCCCCTTCATGATTTCTGATCTTTGTTACTTGCATTCAGGACTGCTAACACTGCAGTCTTAGGCCATAATCATGTATTACTTCAGTGACCCTCTGCACGCGTGCAGAGGCCTGGTCTATTGGATCGCATTGTGGAATTGGGAACTATGGATCATGTGTAGATGTTGGTACTGAAAATTCATCATCTGATCCTATTGTAATTATCTGCCTCCTTAATTCTTAACTGTTATTTGGTACAGGGTGAGAACCTGATGGCTTTAGCAGAGGCAACTGTTGCTCTAGCAGAGGTGTTGGAACTGAAGGCAGACTCCACAGGCCTAGTAGAGGGAACCATAATAGAATCTCGCACAGATCAAGGAAGAGGGTAGGTCAGCTAATCATCTGTCTTCCTTTCAACTTTAATTAATGTTTCTGTAAAGTTTATTCCAGTTGACTTGGTTAAAGAGTCACTGTCTAGGTGGTTTCCAAAATGTAGGTTTTAATTGGGGGGGGAGGGGAGAATAAATTATAAAACTCTAATATTTTTAAATGAAAAAAAGATCGTTGTTTGGGTTTAACAGTTCCTCAGCAATGTTTGCAATCCAAATGTTGCAGTATTTATTGCCTTACTGCATGGGAACCAGAAAATGAATAGTTAGAAACTGACTGGGCTGTTTTATTTTTCAGTGGAACAAAGTGTTGTATAAGCAGACACCATAAATGGTAAAATATAAACTAAACTTATTTAAATAAAATATTAAAACACAGATTTTTTTTTAAAAAATCCATGAATATCAATCTGACAATTTTTTAACCTATGTAGTTTACTTACTATAAAATAGAAAACTTTTTATGAACCATCCACTAAAAAGTGTCTCTTTGTTCTTTAAAATGGTGATATTTAAAGGGTACCTGCAAAAGAAAGAAATCAATTTTTTTTATATATATATATAATATAAAGGGAGCCTGGAAGGTTTCTTTTCAACAAATTCTGTTTGATGTTTATTACCTTAGAAATATAAGAAATGTGTCTATTACTTCCTGGATTTTTTGGAGGACTGTTTGGTGTCACGTATTTTGTGAGTTTTCTCAGTGCCTAAAGGAAGAGGAGGAGATTGCTGAATTTTTAACATCTTTAGATGTATAAAGATACTAAAAAGGATACAGCCCATTTTTTCCCCTTTGCAAATCTCCTTTAAAACTTCCTCTGCATGGTGGTGAAATGTTTAACAGATGTGTTCTGAGATCATAGCACATACTGTTCTATATTTGCTTTTTTCATCTTTACCTAAAGGCATGTAACTGTAAATATGATAGCAAACTTAATTTTGTCTGTCTTTCCCTTTCTCCTCCTCCTAGTCCAGTCACTACGGCCATAATCCAGAGAGGAACTCTGAGAAAAGGATGTATTCTGGTTGCAGGTAAAAGCTGGGCAAAAGTGCGCCTGATGTTTGATGAGAATGGCAAAACAGTAGATGAAGCCACTCCCAGCATGCCGGTAGAAATTGTGGGCTGGAAGGAAGTCCCTTCAGCAGGAGCTGAAATCCTTGAAGTAGAATCTGAGGTATAGCAAGAATAACTTAATGCATAGCTAATACGCTTGTATTGCGATATGTAACATAGATAGAATTAAGTACAAAAATGGTAACGTTCATTGAAAATGAGCCATAGTAACTAAGGCTTGAAGACAAAACCTGGGTACTAAATGTGGCCTGGAATAGGTTTTCCACAAAAGGATTGAAGAACCCAATGAAACACATAACCCTTATTCCCTCCCCTCCTCCAGCACTTCCACATTGATCTGCTCCACATTTAGCCAAAGAAAGTGATCTCTCTGTGAGATGGAAGTGTAACCTGTGGTCTCCTATTTCCCTATGCCTCTGCTTGACTGTAGCTGGTGTCTGGGTGGCTTCTCTTTCAGTATTGCCTTGGCTGAGTGTCCAGGAATAATTACTAATTTCTTCCCAAATACCTCTTCAAGGACTTAGGTTGTCTCCTCTTCAGTAGCATATAATAATAATTACTTTAAAACATGACATAAAATAAACCAAAACTTAATAGGCTCATTATTCTTAATCTTAGAATTAATGAGACTCAAAATAAAACAAAGAAATTAGTGTGCATAACTTGTTTTAACTTAAACTCTGCCAAAGCTAATGCAGATAGGTACTGTTTGTGTCATTAGAGGGAACAAGCAGTATCATTTAAGACTCCAGCCTCTCCAAAGCTTCGTGTATTTTCCCCCTGACCCTTTTGTAAGACCAAATGTCAGAAGCCCACCCCTGATATCAGGTTTCTTACGTCAGCATTCTCCTTGTGTCCTTGGAGTCCCTCAGATATACCTTTCCAGTGACTTTGATATCAAATAATCTGCAGAGAGGCTACAACAATCTTTTATGAATTGGCCATTGTATGTTTCCTAAATCCATTTAGGATTCTGTTTGTTGCTTTGGATAAATGGTTCTGGTGTCAGTTTTTTGGTGCCATGGAGTGAGGTGAGAGATTCCTAGGAGCAAAATAATGCAGTTTATTCCCCAGTAGTTTATGGAATGGTTATCATGCCCTTGTATATTGGCTTGAGAACTTGTCTATGTTGGGCACCTCTCCTGTTGTCTTCTGTGACATGAGATGGTTTGTTTAGCTAGACTGTAAAATAATACTTAAAATTAAAAGCAAAACAAAGTTAAAATCAAGAAAGCGCTTGAATGGTGTTCATCAGATAATCATCTAGAAAAGCGTTTTAAGACCGAGCTGCCCCGTACTATATATTGATAAGTAACAGTGCTGTCTCTTCTGCCAAGCAAAGGGCACGTGAAGTTGTTGACTGGAGAAACTATGCTGAACAACAGGAGAAAATCAAACAGGATATGGAAGTTATTAAAGCAAAGCAAAAGGAACACAAAGATGCATACAAGAAAGAACGAGAGAGCCTATCCAATCTGACCTGGAGACAGAGAAAAGCAGCATTGTTTAAAACCAACAAACATCTAATAGCTATGAGGTCTAAAGAGAGAGCGGAGAGTGACAGAAACGTGCTACCTGTAATTGTTAAAGGTGCTGTCATGTTCAGTTGACTTTGCAGTTGTTTTAGTGCATATTTCCCAAGTCTAAATTTAAACCTATTGTAATTGTAGGTTTTTCTTTGAGTGAATATCCACGCAGATTCCACTCCTGGTGCGTGAGATCTGATTCTTGTGAATAACACTGTTGGGGTTTCACCTGTGCCCTTCTTTCTTCTTGTAGCTGAGGGTATAAAGGATGGGGTGGCCACAATGCATATTTTGTTCCTTACTGCCTGTGGCTGTGAGATGGCACCCTATAGTGTTCACATCCCTTGCCCTGAGCAAGTTAGCTGACATAGTTCTATTAGTTTATTTTTTGCTTAGATAAGTTTTCTTTGCCCATTGACTTCTAAAAAACAAAAACTCCTTAGATTTAGAGTAGTGATAGGTTTTCTCTTCCTTTGTACAAGAGTCTTACTCCCTGTACACACCCCTCTCGTATAATGGCCCTTCCACTCTAACCCCCCCCAAATAAAAACTTAAAATGACTGACTGCAGGTCACTAGGTTTTAAGGTCTGTCCCTCCTGTGACACAGGGATGCCAGTCACAGATGCTTCTGATGCTGCTGTGCCCGGGAGAGGACCTTGCTCCAGAGTGCTGCTCGATTGCTGAGTCCTTCTCCAAAAGGACTCAAATAGTGAGGGAGGCAAAACAGAAACACGTCCTCTAGGAAAGGTCCATGCAAGCCTTATCAGATTTTGACAGACTTTTTAAGACACTCCAGATACAGGACCTATCCCAGGGGTAGGCAACCTATGGCACGTGTGCCGAAGGCGGCATGCGAGCTGATTTTCAGTGGCACTCACACTGCCTGGGTCCAGTCCACCGTCCGGGGGGCTCTGCATTTTAATTTAATTTTAAATGAAGCTTCTTAATCATTTTAAAAACCTTATTTACTTTACATACAACAATAGTTTAGTTATATAATATAGACTTATAGAAAGAGACCTTCTAAAAACGTTAAAATGTCTTACTGGCACGCAAAACCTTAAATTAGAGTGAATAAATGAAGACTCGGCACACCACTTCTGAAAGGTTGCCGACCCCTGGCCTATCCCATGCTTTGAGTGCCACCCCAAGCTCCAGGGCAACTTGTCACTCGTAAGCCCTACTTGCCAACCATATTGGCAATATTTTTGGAAAAGGCTTTTAAGGAGTTCTCCCAGATACTTATTCCCCTTTCCAAACAGGATGGAAAGTCTCCTGTAAGGCTCACTAGTATAAAAGCCTAAAGGTGGAGTTCCGTTTCAGCGGACCTACACCGAAACCCAAGCCAACACCAACAGTCTATTCTGTTCCTATGTAGGTTCTTACACCGCACTCATCACCATAGTATCTGAGTGCCTTCAGTAGTGCATTAAGCAGTGTGACTAAAGTCTATCCGCTGTTGTCTGTTAGAGCAGTGTTTTTCAAACTGTGGGTCGCGACCCAGTACTGGGTCGTGGCATTTAAGGCACTGGGTCGCCTTGCTCTGGTCAGCACCACCAACCGGGACTTTTAAGAGTCCTGTCGGTAGTGCTGCCCAGCTAAGGCAGGCTAGTGCCTACCTTCCAGCACCCCAAACCCCTCATCTCCAGCCCCACCCCAGAGCTTGCACCCCCAGCCCAGAGCCCTGACACCCTCCTGCATCCCAACCCTCTGCCCCAGCCCTGAGCCCCCCCCAACCCAGAGCCCCTCCCACATCCTGAACCCCTCATTCCCAGCTCCATTGGGTCGTGGGCATCAACAGTTTTCTTCAACTGGGTCACCAGAAAAAAAGTTTGAAAACTACTATGTTAGAGATCCTCTTCCCAGGGGGAGGCGTATGTCTTGTACTGGTAGACTTTTTTTTTTTTTTTTTAAAGAAAAAAAATATATAGATGTTGCTATGTATTTGTATTTAATGCAGGTTAAAGAAATGCGCCTTGCACTTGGAGCAAAAAGTGGTGAGGTTTGTGATGGTCCTTAATTTTGGGGGGGGGGAGTTCATTCCAGTCTGGGACTGACCTCAGAAAAAGTTCTGTCTCCTGTACAGATGAGTTTTACCCTTATTGTAGAGAGTTCTATTGTGCCAGACAAGCGAAGTTGTCAACCACACACTTTATCCTGGAGGTTTAGGCCATGTTTTTGATATCCTGGGCCCAGGCCATGCAGCACCTTGAAGATAAGGACCAAAACCTTGAACTTGATGCTGTGTTCTATGGGAAGGCAGTGTAGAGAGCGGAGGACAGATCTGATGTGCTCTCAGTGGCCTGTGTTGCTGAGGAGACATGCTGCAGCATTCTGTTCTAGTTGCAGTTCCTAAGTGCTGAAGGCTTCAGGTATGTTAGAATCATAGAATAGAATCATAGAATATTAGGGTTGGAAGAGACCTCAGGAGGTCATCTAGTCCAATCCCCTGCTCAAAGCAAGACCAACACCAACTAAATCATCCCAGCCAGGGCTTTGTCAAGCGGGCCTTAAAAACCTCTAAGGATGGAGATTCCACCACCTCCCTAGGTAACCCATTCCAGTGCTTCACCACCCTCCTAGTGAAATAGTGTTTCCTAATACAGTAACTCCTCGCTGAACGTTGTAGTTATGTTCCCGAAATGCAACTTTAAGCGAAACGATGTTAAGCAAATCCAATTTCCCCATAAGAATTAATATAAATGGTGGGGGGTTAGGTTCCAGGGAACTTTCTTTGGCCAGACAAAAGACCTCTGTGTGTGTGTGTGTGTGTGTGTGTGTGTGTGTGTGTGTGTGTGTGTGTATATACACACACACAGTATAAGTTTTAAACAAACAATACTGTACACAGCAATGATGATTTTGAAGCTTGGTTGAGGTGGTGAAGTCAGAGGGTGGGATATTTCCCAGGGAATGCTTTATGGCTAAATGATGAGCTAGCATTCGGCTGAGCCCTCAAGGGTTAACACGTTGTTGTTAATGTAGCCTCACACTCTACAAGGCAGCACGAATGGAGGGAGGGGAGACAGCATGGCAGAGAGAGACGCACCCTGTATGTGAGAGAGAGACGCATATTGCTCCTTTACGTATGCTGACCCCACTCAAAGTACATTGCCTTTTTAAGTAGATCAGCAAGTTAAGATAGCAACTGCTGCTAGTAAGCGCCCTCCGTCCTGAGCCCTGTCGTGTCTCTCTTCCCCCCCCCCCTTCTCTGTGGAGATAAGGTACAGGAGCTGGGGGAGGGGGACACCCTGACAGTACCCCTCTCCTCCGCCCTCTGCACAGCAAGCAGGAGGTTCCCAGGAGCAGCTCCAAGGCAGAGGGCAGGAGCTGCACACGGCAGTGGGGGAGGGACAGCTGCACTGCCCAGCAATTGCTAGCCTGCTGGGCGGCTGCCACAGAGGGAACTTAGGAGAGCAGGGAGCTGATAGGGGGGCTGCCGGTCCACCCTGGTTCTAAGCCCCCACCATCTAGCTCCAACGGGCTGCTCTTTCTGCAAGCAGTGGACAAAGCAGGCAGCTGCCAAACAATATTATAAGTGAGCATTGCACAACTTTGAACAAGCATGTTCTCTAATTGATCAGCAACGTAACAACGAACCAACCCTAACCGGGACGACTTTAAGTGAGGAGTTACTGTATCCAACCTAGACCTCCCGCACTGCAACTTGAGACCGTTGCTTCTTGTTTTGTCATCTGCCATCCCTGAGAACAGCCTAGGTCCATCCTCTTTGGAACCCCCCTTCAGGTAGTTGAAGGTTGCTATCAAATCTCCCCTCACTCTTCTCTTCTGCAGACTAAATAATCCCAGTTCCCTCAGCCTCTCCTCGTAAATCATGTGCCCCAGCCCCCTAATCATTTTCGTTGCCCTCCGCTGGACTCTCTCCATTTCGTCCACATCCCTTCTGCAGTGGGAGGACCAAAACTGGACGGAGTACTCCAGGTATGGCCTCACCAGTGCCAAATAGAGGGGAATAATTACTTCCCTTGATCTGCTGGCAATGCTCCTACTAATACAGCCCAATATGCCATTGGCCTTCTTGGCAACAAGGGCACACTGCTGACTCATATCCAGCTTCTCGTCCACTGTAACCCCTAGGTCCTTTTCTGCAGAACTGCTACTTAGCCAGTCGTTCCCCAGTCTGTAGCGGTGCATGGGTTTCTTCCATCCTAAGTGCAGGACTCTGCACTTGTCCTTGTTGAACCTCATCAGATTTCTTTTGGCCCAATACTCTAATTTGTCTAGGTCACTCTGGGCCCTATCCCTACCCTCCAGTGTATCTACCTCTCCCCCCCATCTTAGTGTCATCTGCAAACTTGCTGAGGGTGCAATTCATCCCATCATCCAGATCATGAATAAAGATGTTGAACAAAACCGGCCCCAGGACCGACCCCGGTGCACTCCACTGCCAACTAGACGTGGAGCTGTTGATCACTACCTGTTGAGCCCGATGATCTAGCCAGCTTTCTATCCACCTTATAGTCCATTCATCCCGCCCATACTTCTTTAACTTGCTGGCAAGAGTACTGTGGTAGACCATATCAAAAGTTTTGCTAAAGTCAAAGAATAACACGTCCACTACTTTCCCCTCATCCACAGAGCCAGTTATCTCATCATAGAAGGCAACAACTGTACTGCCTCTGCTACCTACAGCAAGGCACCAACCACAGCACTGAAGCCCGTGGCACAAAGTATTTGGTATGGTCGATTTTGGCACAGGGTATTCCCATATTGAGACCTATCCCTGTGGTATGTACTACCCACCTCCTTGGCACTGACTGAGGTATTGACTATAGTAGATGTAGGACTCTGTATCAGCTCTGATGCATGGCACGGAGACACCTTTCAGTGGGGCAGATGTCAGACTCTCCTTACAGAGAGGCTATGGGATGTCATTGCTAAATCAACCTCAGTGGTGATCCCAAGACAAGGCACAGCTGACAGAACTTCCCCTCTGCTGGAAAAGATGTATTTCTTTTCCTCTCAGAGCTCACCCAAAGTTTCTCTCTAAGGGAGTTTCCAACTTTCATATCAATCAGTTGATTCATCTCCCTGTGTTCTTCCCTTGTCTATTCCAGGTGAAATAAACCTCCATATATTTGAAGTCATCAGAGCATTGCCCTTTTATTTGGATAGGACCAATCCATTCCTGTGCACACCTGTTCTGGACTCTTTTTGGCATTCACTGAAAGGATTATATCATTGAGTGGGTCTCGGACTATTTCAGGACTTCTTATGATTTGGCTAAGAAAGATCCCCCTGGACGTATTAACACTGAAGCAGCCTCTGCAGCATATTTGATTAACATTTGCATAGGAAGCAACATGGAACTCAATCCATACATCTACCACTTGCTATTCCCTGGCACAAGCGCCCAGATTGGATGCTAGCTTTGGTATGGCAGTCCTGCAATCTGTATTAAAGTAGAACTCCTGCTGCCTAGCTACCGGTAAATAGGCAACTGTTTGTTAGTCACCAAGAGTGGAATCTGTGGACAATCACCTACAGTACCTGTGGTTCTTTGAGATGTGTTATCCACAGATTCCACACATACACACACACACCCTTTCATCCCTGCTAATTGGAGACCTGCTCCTAAGAGATCCTTATTGGTGAAGGAACTGAGAAGCAGAAGCACCCTGCTTTTAATACACTTGGCTGCAGGGAGTAAGCGAGTGTTCAAGGCACAGGGGCAGCCGCAACAGACATTGCTATTCAAAAGAATCCAGTCTTGTGCATGTGGGCTGCATGCACCCCTAGAGTGGAATCTGTATTAAAATGTCTTAAATAACCACAGTTCTTACCAGAGTAAGAAAACACTCTGTTCCAGTCCTAAAATTAAGCACTGGCTTGTAATCTTTTGAGGAAGAACTTCCTGAAGGAAATGGTTGTTTTCTTTATGAAAATTAATGTAAGCATAACTTAATGACTACAATAAATTTAAAGTATGGTGTTACTCTGAAAAGTTACTATGTAAGTATGGCATATTCTTACTCAGAAGAACTGCTTCCTGGGTCTACTCAGAGACATATTTGCTTACTTTGTTAAGAAATGTATTTTTACTACTGTCAGCCCTGGCGAACCAGCAACTATGGGCTTGTCTTCTGGTTCATACCTTAGCAACAGAATTGCTAACTAAAGCACTGATCCTGCAAAGACTTAAGCAGGTGAGTAACTTTGAGGAATCCTACTGAAACTGTGTGTGTAAACACATAACTCACATGCTCAAGTATTTGCAGGATTGAGCCCTAAATTCCAGTGGCAGGACTATCTGTGTAGACTCAGTCTGCAAGAATGCCATCAGTTATATCAACTCAACTCCATTGGCAATAGTGTTCCATTGGTAGAACTGAGGCCATGCAGAATCTTTATTGATGATGATGCAAGAGCCAGGAAGAACCCAGCTTGACTTTAATATCCCAGGCTGAATATGCAGGGCTGACGGTATTTGTAAAACTAAGCAAACTTGATCTGAAAATCATTGAGACGTAACAAACATTGACCCCCTCCTTTCCCCAATGATGTTGCGTTCCGTCACTTTTCAGAATAGAACACCACACTTTCAAGTTTGTGCAGTATGTTCAGCAGTCTCTTCTGTATGCTAAAAAGAATAATGCACCAGATATTAAATTTTTGTTGATGATATTGTACAATCTAGAATTCCCATGTAGCAGCATTTGTCTTTTGTTTGTTATAATTTTGATACTTGTTTATTCTGATTTTACAGTGCCTAGTAATAGAACATTTGATCTATTTAGGTGATGTAGACGGTTCCACTGAGGCCATTCTAAACATTCTGGACAGCTATAATGCTGACGATGAATGCGAATTGGATGTGATCCATTTTGGAGTAGGGGATGTCAGTGAAAATGACATAAATCTTGCTGAAACATTTAAGGGTAAAGTATAAATTTAGACAGTGATCTTACATTCAGTATGAAATCCTTCATTTTTTATTAAATGAACAGGGTAACTGTGCTTTCAGTTTTTGTTTCCCCTGTGTAATAATTAATTAGCAATACAATCAATGTAAATGTGTATGAAACATAAAAATAGTTTACTTTCACAGAAAATAAATAAATACTAGTATCTATGCAAAGAGGTATCCTGATAGAAATCTAGTGAAAATGCAAGTAATGTAGAGAAAGGTATACACAATACTGTATTGTCTATAATGTGGCAGACAATACCTGCAAACTTGTGTGTTGGAGACAGTGCTCTAGATTTGAGCCCTTATTCTGGTTGCCTTACGCTGCTTCAGCAGTGCAAAGCAGCCAGAAAAATGGCTTAACCAGATCCCAGAGGATTTTTTTGTGCAGGGGAGTCCTGGTGGGGGAGGGGTTGGCCAGCATAGTGGTTCCTGTTGTAATCTCCCCCTAGCCCAGGGGGCATGGCTGCAGTGCCCCTATGCCTGTTAGATCCCCAGTTGCTGGAACTGCCCTGGGCCATAGCTGGGAGTAAATTAGAACCTCCTTCAGACTGCTCTGATTTATGCTGGAGACCAAGATAAGGAGCTGGCCTTTTCTGGACCCAAGATAAGTAGCTCCCTTTCAATCCTGCTCCTTCATATAGCATATTGCTCAGCCAGATCACAGGATCTGACTAGCTATTTATCTGCTTTGTTACATCTAATTGTATCATCTAGGAGTTTAGAGAGACAAAGTGGGTGAGGTAATATCTTTAACTGGACCATCTTCTGTTGGGGAGAGAGACAAGCTTTTGAGTCACTTAGAGCTCTTTTTCGAAGATGGTCCAATTTAAGATATTACCTCATCCATCTTGTCTCTCTAATATCCTGGGCAGGGCCGGCTCCAGGCACCAGCCCACCAAGCATGTGCTTGGGGCGGCGTCTGGAGGGGGGTGGCACGGCGGGGTGCTCCGGCCCAAGAGCGGGGCCGCGACTGGGCTCGCCGCCCTTCCCGCGGCGCTCCAGCCGCCAGGGAGAGCGGAGCCGCAGCGGGCTCGCCGCCCTCCACCAGTGTTCCGGCCGGTCGGGGAGAGCGGGGCCCCGGCCGGGCTCTCCGCCCTCCTCCCGGCGCTCTGGCCGCCGTGGGGAGAGCAGAGAGCCTCGGCCGGGCTTGCCGCCCTCCTCCCGGCGCTCTGGCCGCCGTGGGGAGAGCGGAGAGCCTCGGCCGGGCTTGCCGCCCTCCTCCCGGTGCTCTGGCTGCCGGGGAGAGCGGAGAGCCCCAGCCGGGCTCTCTGCCCTGCTCCCGGTGCTCTGGCCGCAGGGGAGAGCAGAGAGCCCCGGCCGGGCTTGCCGCCCTCCTCCCGGCGCTCTGGCCGCTGGGGGCTCTCTGGCCGCCGGGGAGAGCGGAGAGCCCCAGCCGGGCTCTCCGCCCTCCTCCCGGCGCTCTGGCCACCGGGGGGAGAACGGGGAGAGCCCCGGCCGGGCTTGCCGCCCTCCCTCCGGCGCTCTGGCTGCCGGGGGGAGAGCGGAGAGCCCCGGCCGGGCTTGCCGCCCTCCCCTGCCGCAATGGGGGGGAGGGGGGGTGGCCGCTGGCTTTTTTGCCTAGGGCGGCAAAAAAGCCAGAGCCGGCCCTGATCCTGGGACTGACATGGCTACAACTACACTGATCTAGGGACAGTATTTTGTGGGGGTTTCCATTGAAGCAACTCTTCTTAAAGTAAGAGCATTGTTGGAGGTGCTTAGTGTACATGCAGTGATCTCTGATTTTAAAAACGGATGGAAAAGTTAAAATGGAGAAACTATAAAATTTCATTTTGCTATCAGTAATGTTGCTTTTACTAGCGCTCAATTTCAGGATATCTTGACTCCTGATTCCAAAAGGTGTTTTTTAAAAAAGGAAGAGAAAAGAGGATTATAATTTACATTAGTAAATGTGAAAATCTCAACCCAAATAAAGCAAACACTTTTCAGTTGTTAAGTACAGACTGTGCTAAGAATAAAATATTACATGAAAATTCCAGGATAGCCTTTGCAAGCTCATCTCCAAACTTTTTCACTTACTGCTTGAAAAACAAAGAAGTTCCTGTACCTGGAGTGTTTATATTTAATAATCAGCTATGGTGGTTTTATCTGTCAGGTGTCATATATGGATTCAGTGTGAATGCAAACAAATCTATTCAGCAGCTGGCTGCTAAAAAGGGAATAAAGATTAAATTTCACAATATTATCTACCATCTTATTGAAGACTTGAAAGATGAGTTGAGCAGCAAATTGCCCCCATCTGTAGTAGAACATAAAATAGGTAAGTTTTCACTGGATGGTAAATATTGCCTTGAAAAACTAGACCTTTCTTGTGGGGTAGGGAAAATATTTTGCTGCTCTGGGGTGGGCCTTGATTTAAAATGGTATGTTGAGGAAATACACAAATCTCATTCTCCAGGATAGCTTTCCCACTGTACTGGATTGCATAGAATTCCTCTGCAGTTATTCTCCTCAATACACAGCAGCAGAATGTTCAGAAGACTAAAGTTTTGATAGCAATGACGAGCACAGCAAAGCATAGCATTCATTACTGGTGGAGTTTGTATTACATTCCCTTGCACTTAGTCCTTCCATTTCTTTCCTTAGGGGAGGCCTCTGTTCTCGCTACCTTTTGTGTCACAGTAGGAAAAAGCAAGGTTCCAGTGGCTGGCTGCCGAGTACAGAAGGGGCAGTTTGACAGAAAGTTGAAGTTTAAACTAATTCGTAACAGAGATGTTATTTGGAAAGGTAAAACTGCTATCAAAACATTTATCCACACTGATATTCTACTACACATACATGCTCACCATTGGAGTTAGATTGTTAGGCCCAGGCTATAGCCTCTGATCTATACAGGCAGTGGAAGTCAATGAAAATGTTGATGTACCTGAAGGTGGAATTTTCTTCTTAAAACGTTGTTCAATCAACTTAATACACTAGTTACAGTAGACTTCACCTAAAAAGGACATCTAGTTCCTGCAAAGCTTGTTTTCTTGCTTAAGCAATACATGCAGAATTGGTTTTGGACAGACATTTTCTTGACCAATCATCCTGGTGTTCATAGGTGCCAACTCCGTGGGTGTTTCGGGGCTGGAGCACCCATGGGGAAAAATTTAGTGGGTGCTCTGCACTCACCAGCAGCCAAGCTCCGTGCCCTCCCCGCCTCTTCCCGAGCGCGCCGCGTCCCAGCTCCTCCGCCTACCTCCCAGCGCTTGCCGCCACCAAACAGCTGTAGCACGCTCTGGGAGGGAGGGGAGAGGAGCGGGTTCAGGGGAGGAGGCAGAGAAAAGGCCGGGGTGGGGATTTGGGGAAGGAGTTGAATAGCGGCAGGGAGGAGGCGGGGACTTTGGGGAAGGGGTTGGAATGGGGACGGAGCAGGTGTGGAGTCGGGGCGGGGGTGGGGGGGGTCGAGCACTCACCGGCGCCATTAGAAGTTGGCGCCTATGCTGGTGTTCCCTCCCCATAAGAAACTTCCACATGCTCTGAACCCCTGACAGCAGTCTGTGTAGGAAGGAGATAGATCAATTAAACTTTGAAAGGAGTAGCACCTGATTTTCAGAACATGTGTAAATTATGGAGGTTCAGCATCACTAAAAATCAGAACCTTCTTGTATTGGCCTTGCCATGTAGTTTTTTTGCGGGGAGGGGGTTGTTTGTTTCAAGTCCACGTTAGTCTTTATATTGGATCTATTTTTTCCATTCTCTCTCTAGGATTTTTAACTTCACTGAAGCACCATAAAGATGATGTCCAGGTAATAAAAACTGGCATGGATTGTGGCCTCAGTTTGGATAAGAACATAGAGTTCAATATTGGAGATGAAATTATCTGCTATGAAGAAAAGGAAGTTGAACGGACAATTTCATGGGATCCAGGATTTTAATAATTTTACTTCACTTGAATGTGATGGAGAAAAGGCCTTGCATTATTCCTGATCATCTTTACAGAATGTTCTTATATTAAAGACACTTACAAAGTGGCTTGTAGTGTAAGAATTCTTTGGGTTCTTAACAGGAGTGCCAACAGCTGATATTTCAAAAGTAAAAGGATTTGTTTCAGGGGCTATGAATGACAGGGGTTGGTTCCTCAGTTCTGCAGGATTGTGCCAGCTTTGTAGACCCGTAAGATCACAGGAAAGCATGGGAGCCAGCATGGCAGTGTTAATTCCTTGGATGTTTCAGATATGAGTAAAAAGTACCTTTTTAGGAAGGAAAAGAGTATTTCAGGTCACTGTAATACTGTTTGTATTGGTAACAGTTTGGTTGATAGAAATAATTCAACTGTTAAAATATTATCTGAAAAGAATAAAATGGCTAGACAAACAGAAGGAACTATTGATGTACTGTCACTACAGCCTTTGAGAAAACAAGTGACTTTATGTGAAAGGTTTGGCCTTCATTTCAAGAGGTTTCCAGCGCATCATCAAGGATCTACAACCTATCCTGAAGGATGATCCCTCACTCTCACAGATCTTGGGAGACAGGCCAGTCCTCACTTACAGACAGCCCCCCAACCTGAAGCAAATACTCACTAGCAACCACACAACAAAAACACTAACCCAGGAGCCTATCCTTGTAACAAAGCCCGTTGCCAACTCTGTCCACATATCTATTCAGGGGACACCATCATCGGACCTAATCACATCGGCCACACTATCAGAGGCTCGTTCACCTGCTTATCTACCAATGTGATATGCCATCATGTGCCAGCAATGCTCCTCTGCCATGTACATTGGCTAAACCGGACAGTCTCTACGCAAAAGAATAAATGGACACAAATCAGACGTCAAGAATTATAACATGGAAAAACCAGTCAGAGAACACTTCAACTTCTCTGGTCACTTGATTACAGACCTCAAAGTCACAATAATCCAACAAAAAAACTTCAAAAACAGACTCCAATGAGAAACTGCAGAATTGGAATTAATTTGCAAACTGGACACCATTAAATTAGGCTTGAATAAAGACTGGGAGTGGATGGGTCATTACACAAAGTAAAACCTATTTCCCCATGCTAATTTTTCACCCCTGCTGTTACTCACACCTTCTTATCAACTGTTGGAAATGGGCCATCCTGATTATCACTATAAAAGTTTTTTTTCTCCTGCTGATAATAGCCCACCTTACCTGATTATTCTCATTATAGGTAGTATGGCAACACCCATTTTTTCATGTCCTTTGTGTATATATAGCTTCCTACTGTATTTTCCACTGCATGCATCTGATGAAGTGGGTTTTAGCCCATGAAAGCTTATGCTCAAATAAATTTGTTAGTTTTGTGAAAAGAACGAGGAGTACTTGTGGCACCTTAGAGACTAAGTGATTGGGCAACAAAATGGCAAATGAAATTTAATGTGAATAAATGTAAAGTAGTGCACATTGGGAAAAATAACCCCAACTATACATACAATATGATGGGGGCTAATTTAGCCACAACTAAGCAGGAAAAAGATCTTGGAGTCGTCATGGATAGTTCTCTGAAGACGTCCACGCGGTGTGCAGCGGCAGTCAAAAAAGCAAACAGGATGTTAGGAACCATTAAAAAGGGGATGGAGAATATCTTATTGTTTTTATATAAATTCATGATACGCCCACATCTTGAATACTGCGTACAGATGTGGTCTCCTCATCTCAAAAAAGTTATACTGGCATTAGAAAAGGTTCAGAGAAGGGCAGCTAAAATGATTAGGGGTTTGGAACAGGTCCCATATGAGGAGAGATTAAAGAGGATAGGACTTTTCAGCTTGGAAAAGAGGATACATGATAGAGGTAGTGCTTGTCCCATTTGTTTTTTTTAATGCTTGTAATTTAACTCTGTCATTGCATGTTTCTCTTTTTAAGATTTCACTCAGTTCCTTCCAAATTTCAACACCATCAGCAATAAAACGAACAAAATGCAGGGAAATAGCCAAGGCTACAGAAATAGGCTTCAGGGTACACAGCATGTGTTCAACATTTCTCTTAAGTCCAATGTTGAGAACTTTGGCTGTGACAGTGCCATCTATTTTTTCACAATTTTGTTCACAAACTGTCATCAGATTAGGCCAGTTCTCGATATAGTGCTCAAAACAGTCCACTACTGAGTTCCATCACACGTCTTCTAGGAGAGTTAGCTTGGTTCCTCCCACTTTTTTCAGAGCAGCTGCAGCAAAGTGGTTGTTATGGAAGTATTTTGCAATTTCTGGAACACTGAAGACTTTGGCTAGGAGGTGCATCAAATGAGCACTGCAACCGTATGTTATTAGCTTGGGACTCTCTTCTAAATAATTTCTTCTCATCTTGGATACATTTGCAGCATTGTCTGTGACCAAGCTGCGTACTAGACATTTGAATTTTTTCTTCAGTTTTCACAGTTTGTTATAGATTTTACTGCTACTTCTTGTAAGTATTCTGCTGTGTGTGCATTTCCTGATGTATCCATTGTTTCTGTAAGGAAGACATTCCCTTCTGTTGTCATATAAACACATATAACAGGATCACTGTGGACGGACATTGCTCCACCCATCAAAACTCAGGTTAACAATTTTTTCCTCTAGATTTTTTGCACACTGCTCAATTTCTCTTTCATACACTTTATCCAGCAATTTGCCTGAAACATCTGCTCTGTTAGGTGGACTGTATCCTGGTTTTAATGACTGAACCATGTTAATGAAGTGTGGGTTCTCAATCATATGGCAAGGAGAGTTTGTTGCATAAACAAACCAGGCAATTTTTTCATCAATTACCTCTTTTTGTAATCTGCTGGTTCTTATCACAAACTTATCTATGATTGTTTCTGGATGATGATTTTTTTCTTTTTCTTTTTGCTACAGGTGATGTACTGTGGCTATGTGACATACATGATGTGACTGAAACACTATCATTGGCAGATAATTCTGAAACTATAGAAAATGATGGTGATCTTGAAGGTGGGTAGTCTTCAGAATCGTGTATGTTGAGGATGGATTCTCCTAAACAAAATAAGTCAATGCAGTTATTTAATTATTACTACCATACTGCTAATTTAGTATTACTCATTGCATTCACTGCTGACACTCAGTATACTTTAAAGGTGAAATTGTAAAAGGATGATCTGCCTATTTCAGCTATTTATTTTTTATCACAACTGCATCTAAAATGATAGTTACTCTCTGGTACTAACAACTATATTTTTTGCTCAAACCTGAGAATTCAAGAATAGTCCAGAAGGAAGACAGGCAGTCCTTAAGAACGAAGTATGAAATAAAAAAGTTTACCAACCTGAAGATCCTGCATGTTCAGACATGTTCCTTTCATCATCTTCAACGCAGCTTCCTCCTGAGAAGGAACACTTCTCATGATGTTGTTTCATTCAGACACCCAGGGCTTGCATTTCTTTGTTGCACTGTTTGCACGCATGCCTGTCTTACCCACAGGTAGAGGAACTTCATTAAAATATTCCCAAACTGGGTCTCTTTTACGGCCTACTGCCATTATAGGTTTTCCCTTCTAGTGAGAGAATGGTATGGTAGATCTCAAATCAATGAAGGCTACACTCAGACCTCAAGACTTCTGGAATATGCTGCTCAAACAGTTTCACTTTTGTTTCTACTGCATGTTCCTCCCTTCTCATATTTATCCCCAGACTTCTTCTCCTTGTCCAGATCTATTCCGCCCCCCCCAATCTTCTATTCCTTGAACTTTTTGAAACTTTGCACTTTTAGAGAGAGATAAGGGATTGACTCTGTGTACACAAATTTGCACAGGGACAATAGGGTTGAGGTCTGTTATTTCTCACCTCTATATATTAATTTAAAAACATTTTGCTGTTAACAAGCATGTTATCTCTGGAGACACAAATCCAGTTTGAGAACTGCAAAACTAAGCATCTCTGATGATATCATCTACACTGATCACTGAGTCCCAGTGGGTAGATAGAAAGATTAACCTAAATAAGCTATACAGAAGCCCCTGGAACTCCATAAGATTGGGTCCCTAATCCATGAATGATTGGAACTCATTTACAAAATTTTCTTAAACATTACTGAATATATTGTCTCATACTATAGAATTATAATTTATAATCCCTATTCCATGATGAGATATTTTTGAGCTATAATGTATCTTAATTAAAACTATCTTTAGGTAGGTTTTTTCCTCAAAAAGCATTTTATCAAAGAAAGCCAGTTGAAATAAAAAAAAGTCTGATTTTTTATCCACCCTGTTAATAAGTGAGAGACCTAAACATCTAAGTCTGTATGCTGCACTGCCTACCGCTTTATCTACGTGCATGGAAAAAGGAAAAATAACTTTCCCTTTTCTGTATAGAAGGCTAGATAAAATGTTTCAATGAGGTAATGTTGTAAAAGTAGAGTTGCAGTATTGGTAACTACGTAGGGGGGTAAATCAATTCTGAACTCTATATGGGAGGCTTCTCATTTCAGAGGAGACTAAAAATTTAGTTTTGTTCTCTAGAAATGGCAGTTTCCTCTGAATCACACTTACTCAATTAACATGTAAAATCCACTTGGGGTCCTTGCAACTGGCTTATCACCACCAGCAAGAGTCTGCAAGCTGAACTCTCCTCTGTCACAACATGTAACCTCATTCATTGTCTACCATGGGGACAGAATTTAGCTCTGAAATGCAAAGCTGAATCCACCTTAAACGTTGACACTTACACACATCTGCCCTCCCCCTGCCATCCTGCAAGGATAGTAGTGATGGTAATGTGCATAATTAGGGGAAACCCAAACTTATGTAAAGTAGCATTAACACAAATGAAAGTCAACACTGCAGAGCTCTACCCATCCCAGTTGTACAGCACCATGTGCACCTCAGTTTTGCATGGTGTGAACTGAACCTAATCAGGACAAGTAACTCATTCTTAAAGCTGCAGCTCATAACTACAAAGAAGAAAGATATACTTTACATGGAAGATGGGTTGTTTTAAAAGTTCTTTACTGATGCTTTTACACAATGAATAGGGCTTCTCTTCCCTGTATCCAGGAGACAGCATGAG